GATCTAATCTTTCCATACAGAATCAAATTCATTCAACTCATTCAACCCACCTTCTCGTTTAGCACTCTTGTTGCTTTTACATAATAGCAGATGAAAGCGCAAAAAAAGTATTCTTCTACAAACGTCAAAAAATGACAAGATATGATATTGAACAAAATGCAAAGTGACTTTTTTTTCAAATTTTCACAGGTTACCACGGCACCGTGCTCTGAATAGTGTGTGAAATACAATATAGTATTCAAGAAACCTATTTCACATACTGCTTGTAAACTACCTATATGAGATTGTATGGTCCCCACAAGTGAAATTCAATAAACCAATCATTTATTTCTGAACGTTTAACAATAAATGCATCCATGTGGATGAAATTCGTAGAAGAGAAAATCACAAGTGTGACATAGTTTTTTTGTAATTGATTCTTTTTATAGAAATGAAAAAACATTAATAACTTTTGAACCATCAATAATTGGATAACCACATATACGGTTAGTAAGCTAAGCATATCTTTCATTTTAGAACAATATTTTTCGACATATGAAGAAAAACATTTGTTTGCAGCTCGTGCGCGAAGTACTTTTCGGACCAATGTAACATATCTCGCGCACGAGATACATAAATAATTATATTTTTCTTCAGCAGAATGGTACCATTATTTGTCCCTCGACCGGCTACATCAGCATCCTTATGCAGTTATAATTAAGACACCTTAATCATCTTACAAAATCTACTTCTTTTGTAGGATATATTCACTTCTTCACGTGTAGATGACAAGAATTACAATATGACCAACTTTTGAGATAAGGATCCATGAATATTTTTCCTTCCTCAGTGCTCACATGAGTCCCTTTTCAGAGTTGTAGGTGTGTCCGTTTGATATGATAATTCAAACAGGTGAGTGAATGTTTATATCTAACCCATGAAAGTGACGATCGCCTTTGTCGATGAATTGCAATCCCAAGAGTCGGTGTCCAGTAGTCATAGATTATTTAGAGGAAAAAATTGCGACCATACAAATTTTTTTTCATTAGCTTCATATACATGAATACATTTGCTAATCCTAGAAAATAACCCTGAAATTCCCAGTGCTTCAATTGTTTGAACAATCAAAAGTTACTTTGTAACAAACATGTATCGCATCTAGTATAAAACGAAACGACAATCAAGACAAACTTCTTGTGGATTTAACATCAATAACAGTGTACGACTTGTGTTGGAAAACATATATTATCAAGAAAAGCGAATGAAGATGTAGATACTCTCAATAGTCACCACTGCTTTGGAACTATCATACGACCATAATGCTGTTGTGATAGTTGGATGAGATATTGATCTATTTATGATGATGACTGGTCTGAATCGACAGAATACCAATGATCACTATTTAAAACACAGCAAAGGAAAGACAGAGCAGGAAAATATATACATCCGAGAGCTTCAATAGGCAAGTACATTTTGTTCCTCTATGCTTTTAGTGGTTGTGATGTAACGAAGCATTTTTTTGACGAGCAATCTATACTTCTAAAACAGTCACTCCTATTTGGTGAGCACTAGGGTATACTTCGATTTCGGTGATTTTGCCCTCCTGGAGTTTGATTAGGTTATTAAGTTTATAAGAGTTCCTAGATTATTTATTTGGATGATATTAGTTTCATCATTGATAATACTATTGTGCTGTTAAAAACAGTTCCTCCGCTTGTATCTACTTCTTCCATTCAACTGTTTTTATCGCTCCGGGTCAGATCAGTTTTGCACAAATAGTTTTTACCTACTGGGTTCGGTGTTTTTCAGGAAACCTTGTACGTATTCTGATCTTCAAACCCGTTTTTGAATAGAACCCTGAATAAAACTATATAAAGAGAAGTTGACGGTGCAGAAGTGAGTTAGCAAAATTCGTTAGTATGGAATAATACTTCTTCAGTACGGAGGGTTGCTATAACGCTGATCCGTCTCCACGCCTTGTAGCATAAAAAAAAGTCGGGTGACCGGAGACTGAGCAATGATATTTGTCTATAGCACAGTCAAGGCTGTCTAGGGATAAATACATGGCAGACTTCAGCAACGAAGGGGGTAGTTCGTAAATTAATTTTGGATAGAACATCGAAATTCTGGTATACCGTATCTCCATCTGATGCTACTTTGGGGTACCTCTAATCAAGTATAGTAGAGGGGACACCACTCTAAAATAACTGGCGCCCGAGTTTTCTTTTTATTTTACTTGTAAATGAAGCAGTATCGGTAATTTATTTGTTTATGGGTGCTTACTGTAAGGCTCTGGATCGAGGATTAAATAAAACAAAATAACTTTACAGTGATACCACATCAGCATTCTGTCGAATGGAAAAAACGAATTACATCAAACTATTGAACGCTGAACATGACATAAGAGTAATCCTCGGATCCTTTTAATGCTCTGATTTCCATTCTGATCATTAAAATTTAGATTGTTTTGCACAAAAGTTCATAATCTCTCTATATGGAGCAAAGAAGAAGGAGTTAATATATTTAGATGAATTCAGAATTCAATGTTTCTCAAAATCTACGACTAAAAAATCTTTCAATCTCGCACCATTGCCTTCAACTCGTGAAGCAGCTTGTCAACATGCCCTCAGAGTATATTATCAAGTCCAGAATGGGCTTATATCACAAAAAAAATTATTTCATAATTCGATAGAACTCACCCAAACTAGCTCACCACCGCAAACCGTTTCTTGCTGTGAGCTCCCTACGTTTTATAACAAATTATTGAAATCCCCGATTTTTCGGACCTCTGAAAACGAGGCGATGATGTGACGTCAAAACTCTTATACTGAAACAAGACTATTCCAGACAGAGATGAATGATACATGATTTCTGACAGAGTGAATTAGCGCGAGATCACAGTTGAAAGAATTAATATGTCAGTTGCCTCAGTCTCCGTCGAGCGTTTGGTATTTTCTTTTAACTATGGCGAGATGAGGTTTCTACGTCATAAGAGGGACCGTTTTCAAAAGATACAACTACTCATGTCCAAAAATAAAACATTCCAGTTGATTTTTCGATCGAATTATGTCGTCAATCATTATTTATGTATAAAAGGATCATTAAAAACATGGTTTGAGTTAAAAGTTCTACTAAGGTGTACACGCCCATTGGCTTAGTAATCATTTGGAACCAACTTATTGGGGGTGGAGACGAACGATAAATGGCTTACTACCCATTACCACTATTGAAGAATAAGCTATACCAAAAGAATTGTTAAAATCAATTTGTTGCAAATGTTCGAAAGGGTGTACAGGGAATTGCAGCTGCAGGAAAGTCAGGTTATTTGTGAAAATTGCCAAGGACGAACGTGCATAAATATCAATGGTAATGTAGACATCGAAATAGATGTAGATGAACCGGTTTACATATACAGTATGATGCAAATGTATGGAATAAATTCATTATTTCATAAATGGGTGACATTTGATGAAATTCCAAAAACACGTGAGTTTTAATTTTTGAAGCCTCATCTCATGACATTCATATGTGAGATGTTACGTCACTGGTGTAGAAGTAATGACGTAATGGACGATTTTTTCAAATACAAGCAGGGGTCATGTGACACCTCGTTTGAAAGGTCTACTGATCGCCTATCCAACAGTCAGAGTTTTGCATTAGAATATTGCAATTAAAATGGATTATCATTTGGTTAACTGAATCTTGCAGAGGTCTGCTACTGAGAATTGAACATCGAAGGGTCGTCTAGTTGAAAAAATACACAATAAAAAAAGTTCTGAACTTTAGTTTTTGGATTTTTTTCGGAAGTCGTCTTGTTTTGAAATGAATTTATTCCATACATTTGCATCATACTGTATATGGAAAGATTTTTATGGGTGGGACGAAAACGAAGCTGACTTGCGAATCGGAGGACTGTCACTAACCGGTTGAAAAAATGACGAATTGATGATTACATGGGAACTATGATTGAAGCTTTTGTATGTTTTGAAATAAATAACTGGCTACAAAAAAATAATTTTTCCGAAGCACCATTTTACTTTATCTCTACTCGTACATATACCACCCTACTAGGTGACGTTGTGATATCGCCCGAACAAGGAAAAGTATAAGAATTTTTTTGTAGAGAATTTAATAAGGAACAGGATATAAAAAACAAAATCGCAATTGCCGTTCCTGCGATATTAACGAAAAACTATAACAATAAGTAACTTCTAAGTGTGAAGCACTGAAAATTTCTGGGTTATTTTTTAGGATTAGTATATTTATTTATGTCCGAATCCAATGAAACAAGAAGTTGAATGATTGCAACTTTTTCCACAATTATATCAATTTCATCCTCTGGACATATTATATATAATAAGGTATCATTTGATCAAGGTATTTAGGAATACACAAGATATACAAAGACATTGATTAGAATAGTTTTATTCATTGATTATTTAGACAATAAATAGATTGCATATAGCGGTAAAGTAATAAAAATATACTTGTCTTACCACATAATACATTATATAGATTAACAGTTTCATTAGCCAAAAAGCTTAAGGAAGGCCTATCACATATTATTTCCTGTGGGTATACAGTTTAACCACTATTAGTCTATTCCTTTGGACAACATTATATGAAATGGACTAATGTTTACATTTCTGCCACATTGATTTAAACTCAACAACATCCAAAGAACAAAGTGGTAAGTACTTCAAAATACTTCCAAATCGATGAAAATATAACTGTTATTATAGTGCATATTAGAAATAAGGGTGATTCATTGGTCTAGGACAAAACTGGTATCAATAGTTTGTTACGAATCAACGTCAAGGAAACTTTGGAAAACAAGCGTTCGTATATCGATATATTCCTTTTTCATTCTTGTAATAATGAATTGAACATTTGAAAACTATATATATTTTGATGACACCACAAGAATATTCAAAAATGCAGATTCAATAAAAGAGACTAACTTTAATATTTCGTGTAGGTACACTTCTTATTACATGAAAGGATAATTTTGAGATTTTTTTGAGGAAAAAATTACTTATTTAATTATAAACCCTCCTGGACAAATCACAGGTGTCAATGTTCAATTTACACCTCATTTACAATTTTACAGGTCAATTCGAAACAAACTGTATAATAATAATAATTCATAATAAAATACAGGAAGATACTTCATTCATATCTGGAGGAATAAATTATCAAGGTGTTTCATGATCTTCAAATAGGGTCAAAAATGGTGGGACGTGATGCAGTGAACATCAAAACAGATTTGATAGTACAAAATTCAAAGTCAGCCATATTATTTCACTCAGGACCTTCTACGAATTGATATAGGCAAAATCTCAGAAATATTTCCTCTTTCAGTGTCGTTGAAATAAATACTCATCATTTTCAAGTAGAGACAGAATTATAACCAGAAGAAAATTTAGAAGAAAATCGATTCGATTTTTATCTGTGAAATTATTGTATGTATTGCATTGCAACTGAAACTTAACAATCTTACCAAGCGTTTTTTGGGTTCTTAATCCATTTCTACAAATTTTGCCTGTACCAACAGAAGAAGGATTTAAAAACGTAAACATTATTTATAAATTGCCCTCAATTTCGTAAATACTTATAGAAATAATAATAATTAAAAGGTGCCTAGAAAGTGTTTCAATCTCTTGGAACATCTTTTTTGTTATTTTAGGGCTGACTTTAACTTTGATACAAGAATGCCAAAAAAGCCATTGTAAAAAATCATTTCGTAGATTGATTCCAAAGTTCATCAATCAGGTGTATTCCTAGTGCTTTATTTTTATCTCCTCGAGATCTTTTTGGAGGTAGTGAAGGACGTAGTGAAGAACGACATCGTAGCAATATTTGTACTCGGTCTAAAAAATATAAAATATGTAAATCAATATTCTCAATATATGCGTATACTTTGAACATTATAGGGATACCCTTTCGTGCGCTCCAAGCGATAAAAAAAAATACTTCGGAAAAAATCTTATTCGCAAACTGACTTTCACCACCGTACTTTCTCCAAATGAAAACTTCGAATTATAATTTCACATAAATAGGTCTCGATACATATACAGCGTGTCTCACTTTAAACGGTCCCCCTCTATACAGGGTGGGCCACCAGTAACGCCTCGGTCTCTAGAAGGCTAACCACTTATCTTCTTGGAATTCTTCCTCTCTAGGAAGATGCATGTCAACATAGGCTACCATTTGAAATTATTTTGAAACATACAGGATGTCCCCAAAAATCACAAAACACTGAAGTTGAACTTTTTTCAATCGAACACCCTATATATTATTTCATTTTGAGCCAGTTATAAATACTGAGATATAGGGTGTGAGAAATTGAGATTTTCCAAGTTCAAGAATTTTTTGTGTCTAAACCATTCATAATTGTTCAAAACGGCTCACATGTCCCTATCTCAATTTTTGATCAACTATCTACTGACATTTAATTGAAACAAATACAGGGTGGTGCAGAATTCAGAATCTTGATCCCTCGGTATATGTCCCAATTAAATATCAGTAGATAGTTAATCAAAAGTTGAGACAGGGAAATGTAAGCCGTTTTGACCAATTATGAATAGTTTCGACACAAAAAATTCTTGAACTTGGAAAATCTCGATTTTTCACACCCTATATTTCAGTAATTATAACTGCTAGACCCCAAGTATGATGGGTCGTTGAAATCAGCTCATCAGGGAGAATCTCAAAATGAAATAATACATAGGGTGTTCGATAGAAAAAAGTTTAACTTCAGTGTTTTATGGTTTTTGGGGACACCCTGTATGTTTCTAAATAATTTTAAATGGTAGCCTATGTTGACATGCAACTTCCTAGAGAGGAAGAATTCCAAGAAGATAAGTGGTTAGCCTTCTAGAGACCGAGGCGTTACTGGTGGCCCACCCTGTATATCTCTGTTATTAGTCATGCGATTCCAAACAAATTTGATGTGGTATGAATAACCATCAATATGATCAGTTTTACAGAGATGCACATTATTTTGGACAGTGCCATGCGTTTTTATTGAACTGAAAAGGGGTCGATTTTTCATAAAATCATATTAGGATTTTTTTTACAGGAAATTTAACCTCCTATTATTGTTCCTCATGCTTTCGAACCTCCATATGCAAAAAATCACCTAATTGTGAATTAACAGGATTGGCTTCATTTTTTCCTGTTTCAGTCTCGAATGATTAGTGACTTAAAATCAACTACGAATTTTGGAACGATCAATGGCTCCGGTAGGTGGAAAATCATGATTCGGAAGGAAAAACAAGTTATACTTTATTATGTTAAAATCACTGTTTCCGAGTAAATAATTATTACGTTCGCAAAAATGCTGTTTAGATGTGCCTGTTTTTCTGAAACCGTTCCTAGGCATCTTATGAAAATCCACATATTATGTGGGTTTGAAACCATGAAGAACAATATTATGCGGTCTGTTTTCCTGTGAAAAAATGCCTAATATGCTTTAATGAAAAACTGACCCCTATTCATTTCAATAAAAATGCACGGCACTGTCTATGGAGAACTGGTCATATTGATGATTATTCATACCGATACAAATTTGGTAAAGATCGCACGACTGATATAGAGTGGGGGCCGTTTGAAATGAGACACGCTGTATAAAGAGTGTCACTGTCGTCTGTCAAGTCCGCATTAGATGGGATATTTTCATCATTTAATTTACGCATATTTGGAGTTCATGAACAAAAATCCTACTTATTATATAAGGGTTAGGTTATTTTTCTGAGAACTTGGAGAAATGGTAGATATTTTTTTATCGACATTGTCTATTTTTCTAAAAACGTCTGATGATGTTATATAATAATTTTCTATCCACCAACGATTCTGACTTTCTCGCGTTTTCTTCACCTACAATTTTATTTTTATTTTATTTAACGAAAAAATCTAAAATGCAATTTGAAATGTGAAATACTCGTCGGAGGGTTTATTGTTTTTTGTTGAAAAATTTGTATAATTGTTATTTTTCAACGAAAAAACACAAATGCTTTAAAACATTACATATGTCATACTTTCGATACAAAGTGACTAATTTCAACATTATATAGGGTGATTCCATAGTGCCTTCTCTTTCGATATCAACTAAACCGTCAAGTATATAAAAAAATTCGAATACAACAGTTGAGAGCTTTCACCTAAATTATTTTCATATCTATTGGATGTTAGAATTCCACGATATCGGCTGATGATGGGTGTTTTTGAATGGGACACCGTGTATATTATTTCATTTTTAAATTTATCCTGAAGAGTTGATTTCATCAATGCATCACACTTGGGGTCTCGCGGAAATGATTACAGAGATATAGGGTGTTCAGAATCGAAAATTTTCTAATTGGGGATTTTTTCATTATTGGTTAAAATGGCTTGCATGTCCCTATCTCAACGTTTGATTTACTATCTACTGAAATTCAATTGGAATAGATACAGAGGGTGATCAGAAATCATGAATTTTGAACCACCCTGTATTTGTTTATATTAAATGTCAATAGATGGTGAATCAAAAGTTGAGATAGGGACATGTAAGCCGTTTTGACTGATAATATATAGTTTTAACACAAAAAAATCACAGGGTTGAAAAATATAGGTAGATTTTGAACACCCGCCTATATCTCTATAAACATTTCAGCTAGTTCCCAAGTGCGATACATTGATGAAATCAGCTCTTAAGGGAGAATCTAAGAATGTGATAATATACAGGGTGTCTCATTTGAAAACACCAACCGATTTCTTGGCATTCGAACACCCTAAAGATATGAAAATAATTTTAGGTGATAGTTCCCAAGAAACCCTATAACTGTTGTATTCGAATTTTTTCTACATATCTGACGGTTTGGCTAATATAGAAGGAGAACACACTATTGACTCACCCTTTATATCAGAATTAACTTTATGATTTATTATCACAATATTAAACGCAATTCAGTCCAGTGTCAAGATTCTGAATTTTTAAGTCAATTTTTGCCAATAAAATTATTATAGCTAATTCAATAAAAAAAAACTAATGAAATTCTGAAGACTTTTTATAGTTTTTTTTTTTGGTGAAATTCGACAGGAATGGCCGTGTGCAAAAAAGTTACAGCGTTATTTTGCATTACTTACAAAGCAAAAACTGTTCATTTACTCTGAATTTGCGTAAATTGAATTACTGATTAAGAAAATCCCGAATCATACGGCTTCAACGGTGATACTGGAATGTATAGAATCTTCAACAATCGAAGAACACTTGATGTGAATAAGAGAGATTTTATTAATAGAGTGATGACAATAGTGGTACACTTTTTGATTGGTCAGATACCTTCAATATGGAGGTGAATCCGACTGTCTTCTATTCTCCATTCAGTTCTACGCATTCTATTTCACATCGTCAATGCTTTATTGTCTCTTGTTTTTTGCTCTTTGAATACAATACATCCAATAATCACATATACGTCAGTATAACCTTGGATGTTAACTATTATAATGCTATTATAGCGAATTCCATTGGTAAAACCGGCTTGCACTAGAGGTGCATATTTTTTATTCCATTGGAAAATTGGTTCTCATAGTTTAGAGCTCAATGCACAACACGAGCTATAAATGGTCGTGCGATGTTTTGAAAATGGCGGAAACATTGAACATGAATAGTTTGAGAACGAAACTGTTAGTGGCAATCTAGTCATCATCATCAAATACTGATGAAAAGTTGGAGGTTCCAAAAAAATAATGGAGTTTCCAAAAAAATAATGGAGTTTACTTCCCAGAATTCATAAATTTGTTGAACGTATTTTGCAAATTCAATGATGAAGAGGTAGTTATTGAAAAAAGTGCTCAACATTATTTTTCATGAAGCATCTACCTTGTTTTTAATTGAAGTTAAAAAAGAATTGCAGGATGCGGCCAAGTTATAAACAAAGACAATAAACCAATTTATCCGATTCAACCTCCAACAATAATTTTATAATAATATTATTTCGTATTCCATTGGGAATGCACCAGTTCACATTTTGGAGATATCTTACGTAGTGCGGGTGCAAAACCAGAACAAAACCAGTGCATTTAGATGATGAAGTTGAAATATCAAATATCGCTATATCTACCATCAGATGGGCACTTCATAGGCGCAAAATCATTACTGCATGGAAGATACCCTTCAGATTTGAACTATTCAGTGACTTGACCACAAATGTCATTCCGGAAACGGCAGCCATTAGGAGCTCTATTGTCGCCACTCTATTTATATAATCTACTCACTCTAATGTGATCGAGCAGAAACGTTTTCTTCAAGCGAGCAATTTGACCGAGATTTCCGGGTTGTTGGGATATGACATGAATAGCGGTCTAGATAGTTATGTCAGTGTTCTCTATATCGAACTAATTTCTGTCAAATTGGAAGAACTGTGCAACACAGGTGATCTGGGATAATGTTGGTATTACAATAATAATAGATCCGTACAGTGGAGCATAATTGAAATACTTACTATATTTTCTATAAGCTGAGGTCTATGTCTTCTGACAGTCCGGACTGCTTGGAAGACGTCTACTTCGCCATGCTGTATGACCTGTTCTATACACGCATTGGCAGCACAATATATGCCACATCTACTCCTACCATCCCTGTTACACATGAAACAATATGCTACAATAATATTTTTGACAGAATGATTTGGTGGAAAAAATCTTACTTCACCCAGATTTTAGATATAGGTCATATGATTTCAACACCCAATACACAATACCTCATAAGTGTTAGTTATTCATAAAACGGCAAATTTCAACATTTTCCTTTTTCCAATAATTCATGTATCAAAATCTAAGAAGTTGATACCGGTAGTCATTCAATCGAGAAACACATCAAACACTTATATACGGAATTCCATCGTTGTAAGTTCTAAAGGAAGGTGACTAGGTCAACCAAAAATCAATAAAACTGAAGTTGAGGTCACAGTTAAAAGAATACAAATATTCTTTTAACTGTGGTTGAGGTTCACCATTTTGAAAATCATTTATCACCCTCTTCATGATGAATACTATATTTTGGAGTAGAATTGACAGATGAAAATTTCAAGATGGCGACTAGGCGCCATCTGGGATAAAATCGTTGATTTTAAGAAATAAAATGTGTTATTGAAGTACAACGTGAGTATATGAAGTGTCCATTGAAGGAAAAAGAAGGACAAGTAGTTGTAAATGAATATCTCGATAAATAGCGGTTTGTTCACATTTTCATTGTGAAATTCGTGTTTTTCAGACGAAAATACGTAAGTACCAAAAACAATTTTCGAAAAAAAAACCATCGAATGATAAGTGCAGTTTTACCAAATTCACAGTGGGTATTTGAGATGTATATATTGTAGTCAAATCATCTACTTATATGTGTTTATATGAAAGAGAAAAAGTCCTCAAAGCTGGATGTATGTGCGAACAATTGATCTACCTCTGATGGGAAAAATTTAACATATTATGTGCTTTTTGCTTTTGAATAAGAGTTAAATTGTTTCAAATTCCTCCTGTAATTTCACTTCTGACAATAAATGCCACTGAATTCAATCTCGTAGTTGAGAGAATATGTTCCAATTATACACTGATGGAAATCATCATTTTCTGTGAAATGGCAGAAAACTTTCATGAATAACGACATGTGAAACCAAGCAATAATGATTTAAGTAACTCTACAGAAGAATTAAAACTCAAAAATATAACAATGACTACTAAACTTTTGATAAAATGCATGGAAGCTTGAATGTAAACAAATATTCAATGTACTTTTCATTGGTTACTTGATTACCCGCAAGAGAGCGTATCGGTTATCTTGAATCGCCTATACTCACGGAGATACAACACAAACGGGCCCGTAGTCTGTCCGCTGTCGCCACCTCTCGACCATGTTCATCAACTCCACCAACGAGTTCGTGGACGATGGCACTTTATGGCCCATAGGCCAGCAGGTTAGTTGGAACAGCTGCACAGTCTTAGGGGGGGCTTTGACACCAGCCATCAGTTCAGTTAGGGACACGATCTGGAGTTTTATGGAAATAAAAACAACCTTGAATTATGTTGGGGGTTGATTGATTATGCTGGCTTTCAGGTTTTCTGAATACACACAGCGGCAAAATTTACTGTATGAGATGTACGGGATGGGACGTCCCAAGGACACATATTTTTGGTCCGGGACATTCGGACTTGAATTGTACCAAATAGGGACGTCCCTAGGACGTTGTGTGCTAAGAAGAATATGGGTTTGCTTCTGTACAGTGTGTCCAGTTGTCGATGCTTTTGTGTGATATCTCAGTTATCTTTCGAGATAGAACCTTGCGGGTTTCGCGGTCGTGTGCAAAAATGTCAAATTTGAATCTCATCCCATATGAAAGTTTACGCAAAATCCAGTGGCGCACTCAACATTTTTTTTTTCGGGGTATGGTTTTGGAGATACGACTCAAACTTATGATTTTTTGAATGGAACACCCTGTATTTTATAAGCTCATAAAATTCCTCATTTTTTTCTCTTCGAAATGAGTTATAATGTATATGGAATTTTCAAAAATGCTCTGACTCTGGCTATGGATTTTTCTTATAAAAAAGTTCCAATCGAAGAAATATTCATTTTGATTTTTCCATATAGAGGACAAAAACAATACCAACACTAATTAACTAAGAAAACACAAAAATTATGTACCTGATAGCAACAAATAAATATAGTAATAAAAAGTTCATAATGTAGAATAAGCACCAGATTGAATATTTACAAATACAATTGAATTTCGGAATTATTCAATAACTTTTCCACTGAATTGTTCAAATTGATGTCCATTTTCCATAACACACAATTGACACATTTTCTCAATACGTCTTGATACAGTAATAGAGTCACAAATATCCTGAAGAACTTCGTGCAACAACAGAGGCAGTTTTCCAGGAATTACAAAGACATCCTTTAATGATTTTGAATGCATTAAGACGTATTGAGAAAGCGTGTGAGGGAAAGTGGACATCAATTTGAACAATTCAATGAATAAGTAACTGATTAATTTCGAAATTCAATTGTCTTAGTGAATATTAAATGAGGTGCTTATTCTAGAATATGAACTTTTTATTACCATTCATTTGTTGCTATAGGTAATTTTTGTGTTATCTTAATTAACTAGTGTTGGGAATATTCCCTCAATTGGAACTTTTTTTAAATGAAAAATCCATGGCCCACTATTGAAATTCAATGTTTTAGTGATTTTGGAGCATTTTTGAAAATTTTATACCTATTCATCATACTTCATTTTGATGGGGAAAAAATAAGGAATTTAATGAGCTTATAAAATACAGGGTGTTCCATTTGAAAAATCATAAGTTTGAGTCGTATCTCCGAAACCATACCCAGAAAAAAAATTTGTGTGTGCCACTGAATTCTGCGTAAAATTCTGTATGAAATAAGATTCCAATTTGACACTTTCGCTGGGAAACTTCGTAGATATAGAGGGGGTCCAAAAAGTATAAATTTTCAAAATCGCCCTGTATCTCAAAAACGCATACAGTTATGCAAAATCTGATTAGGCCATCTTGAGTTTCACAGAAAAGTGGTACAGGACCGCGAAAACCGCAAGGTTCTATCTCGAAAGATAACTGAGATATCACGCAAAAGCATCGAAAACTGGACACACTGTACATATAGCAGCGATGTATCATTCGTGATATCGCATTGTTGCCTCATCATGACATCTTAGAGATGTCATGTCGCAAATGTGTTTGCATCAATACATCGCAGCGATGGAACATTCGTAATATCGCAGTGTTGCCCCATTTCGACATCTCAGAGATGTCATTTTGCATATGTGTCTACTTCTGTATATTGCAGCGATGGAAAATTCGTAATATCACAGTTTTTTCACAGGTGTTCTGCTTCTCACGAAAAGGGATATCCTGTAATGTTCAGAGAACATCGTGAGAACCAAGGGGAAGAAGGTAGGAATTGGTGTTCTTCTTGAATTTCTGGAGGTTATATGCCTCGGGGAACACCTCCCTTGGCAATGTGTCCCAGAGCCTCGCTGTTCGTTGGATGAACGAGTCTTTGGAAAGAGATGTTCTGCAGGTCCCCAAAGTGACCACGAAGGGGTGCGAAGCCTCAACTCGACGGGTTAATCTCGCGGGGACTGCCAAGGGAGGTACAATTGTTGATATTTCCGAAGAGCATCGTCCATGAAAATATCTATAAAATAGAGCCAGATCGCCAACTCTTCTACGATGTTCCAGAGAAGTGAGTGAGTTTGTGTTGCCTCATCGCGACATCTCAGAGATGTTATGTCGCAGATGTGTTTGCTAAAGAACATCGCAGCGACGGAACGTTTGTGATATCGCACTGTTACCTAAACGCGACATCTCAGAGATATGTCATATCACAGAATTGTTAGCTGGGTAGTAAGTTATATTACTATTATTGTTATTCAATTTATTTTGTGAATATTGTACACTACTTTCTGTATTTATTTTCTACCTGACTTGCTACAAATGCTTTATATCACGTAGTTGAATAAAAATCTATATCTATATCTATCTCTGTCGGTGGCCACATCTCGTTGCTGCTTCTTATTGATAACATATTGCTCTCTACAGGGTGTAATTCGATTGATGGCTGAAAATATAGGATATATACGGTTCCTTATTAGCTCTTTTTTTTTTCAATTAACTCGGCCGTTACTTGATGGAAATCCATGGCAAATGTAAAAAATTCACAAACGATAAGATTTCCACAAAATTTTCAATCACAGGACATGTTTTGCTAACATAGTAGCTTCATCAGGTGAAATACTGGTACAATGAACTGAATTCGCTCATCACGTTGACAGAACGTTTGATGAAACACTGTTTCATAGTAATACAAGTTATATTCTAAATGCAAGTCCCATATATTTCAGAATAGTGTGATGAAACACATTTCTTTGCCTGATCTCTCTTGTGATACTACCTACCACTGACAGAACTTGTAATCTAATAATGATAATATAATAATGTAATAATATTATAAGTTTATTCAAAAACGTTTACAAAATATACATTGGAATAAACATACAGGGTGGCTCATCGAAAACGTACCGCAAGGCATTACAGGCTGGAAAACAACTTTTCGATAAAATCCAAAAACAGGTCAAGTTTGTTTGCGACGGGGACACAATTTGACGTAACAAGAATAGTAAAATCTTCAACCCCCTGAGTAGTGGGGTCACCCCAACATTTTTTTCAAATGGGAAGGGTGGTCAAGCGATACCTCTTTAGAAGGGGCTTGTCATTTCCTATACAGTTCTGCTTAGATTTTTTAAATCGATCTACTCTTTCAGAAAATATGGAGCGTTGAAACTCCAACCATCATGTGGGACGAAAAATACAAAAATCGCTTCAAATGTACTTCACAACTCATTTATTAGTCAAGTAAATGTTCGAATTGCTGCCCGTCAACCTGCATACAGTGGTATAAGTTATTTTCAAACCGTTGTCGTACATTCTGGAGCATTTGGGGTGTCACTTCGCGACATACAATAATGATTCTTTGTCGCAACTGTTCTAATGTGTCTGGTGGTGTTTTGTAAACAAGGCTTTTGATGTGTCCCCACAAAAAAAATCTGAAGGACTTAAGTCGGGTGACCGAGGTGGCCATTCTATTGGGCCCCGTCGTCCTATCCATCGTCCTGGAAATGTGTTGGAAATAATGAGGAGGAGCTCCGTCTTGTTGGAAAATCAGTTCCTGTTCATTGTATGCGGGATCGTTCTCAATGATATTTGTTAGAGCTGGGTCGATGGCATTTTGTAGTAAATCCAAGTACATATCGCCTGTTAAATTTCCAGGAAGGAAAAAAGGTCCTACAATGGAATTTCCGAAAATACCAGCCCACACATTTAACTTCTGGGGGTGTTGCGTGTGTGTCTCGTGGAAAATCCTTGGATTGGTGTCAGCCCAGTATCTGCAATTGTGGCGATTCACTAAACCATTAAGGAAGAAGGAACACTCATCCGAAAAACACACATTAAATACAAAATTACCATTGTGTAACGCTCGCTCACTCATAATTTCGCAAAATTGCAAGCGACGATCAAAGTCATCTTCATTCAGTTCGTGCACTAAGCGAATTTTGTAAGGATAGAATTTGTATTTTTTTAATACCCGTTGGACACTGGTACGAGACACCCCCATGGCAATGGCCAATTGTCTTGTACTTAGCGTACTATCAACTGCAACTTGCCCCAATACTGCTATCTCCGTAGGTTCATTTAGTACTGGATTTTCAAGCTCTCTTAACCTGTTTCGCGAAATTTCTTCACCAATTCGCGAACAATTTTTCCAGAGGCATGTTTGTCAGGATGCCGTTGGTTAAACAACTCCGCGACCCGATTTCCACATTCATCGTTTTCGAAAAAAATCTCAATGATTTCCACTCTGTCTGCAATTGAATAGACCATAATAATAAATTTTTAAAGTCAACAATTCGTGAACACTTCAACCACGACGGGTATCTAGCAACTACTTGACCTAAGTCAAACGTGAAGAAATGAATCCAATTCATTTTTTACTCTCTAAAATGAGCCTAAACAAATCTGTGCATCGGCAAAAACAGCGAATCGGCAAAAACAGCGAATTCATTCGAAAGAACTTATTGCAATGAAGTTCAATTGAACCGATTTTTGTATTTTTCGTCCCACACATGATGGTTGGAACGCTCCATATTTTCTGAAAGAGTAGATCGATTTGAAAAATCTAAGCAGCATTGTATAGGGAATGACAAGCCCGTTCTAAAGAGGTATCGCTTGACCCCCCTTCCCATTTGAAAAAAATCTTGGGGTGACCACCCTACTTAGGGGTTACCTGTTTTCGGAATTTATCGAAACGTCATTTCCCAGCCTGTAATGCCTTGCGGTACGTTTTCGATGGGCCACCCTGTATATGTCATGACATCGAGCCATGTCCCTTGATGTTCGCAAACATAAGTAAGAGTGAGTAAGATTTATGACAGGTCCTGAATAATGCGCATGCTCCATTCCACCAAGTTCGATCTGGTATAAATGAATGAGCATAGATCTTATGGCATTTTAGTGGTCTTATTAGTAAGTAATTTATGTCGGTGAGTAATACATGTTGTATTCTAGATGCAAGTTGCATATGTTTCAGGATACTGTGGTAAAACAAAGTTCTTTGACTGATCTCTCTAATGTTAAATTTGTTGGCTCATTTATTTTTCAAATGTTGATGAGATCGTACTTTGAGTATTTGATTCAATGAAACAGGTACGTTGATTTTTTAATCGATCTGATCGAGTATATTCGATACTTTTTGAAAAAGAGAATAGCTTACCTTTTTATTCATTCGGAACACCCATGTTTTGATGTTGGTGTAGTGGCTATGCGATATATGATCGATGGTGAACACAGGGCCGTATTTTTTTGATGTCCTGCCTTCAGGCCAAAATGATGGAAACTGTTGCTGAAATGAGTATGGAAAAATATCACTAAATGGGACCCATTTAAAGAGGACATATACCCGGACTTTCTTCAATTATTTCAACTCACCGAATTATGAGGTGGAACACATAAAATCACAACAGCTGAACAGTCGTAATCGTAAACCAGGGACCAAAATTCACCGCAAGTGGATTTGATAGGCCATTCAGTTACAATATATTCTTTAGGTTTCGTGTATCCCTGAAACAAATGAACAAAATACAATGCTACAATGAACGTCCCGAAAAACATTTTATATTGAAAACCCTGTATACAGGGTGTTTCAAAATTAGGTATCAAGATTTCAGGGACTTATATTTCAGCTTAAAATGGGGCTTCTTTTCTATAAAAACGATTCGGTACCTATCTACAGAGCGTTAAATAAGTTCCAAGTTTCCAGCACCTTTTATAAAACGTCAAGGCTTGTTAGGTTTCTAATTCTTTAGGTAATGTTTGAAAACTTGTAATTAAGATCAGAAAATAAATATGTAGCGTTCTCAATTGAATCTAGTGAATTTCAAGATATAATTTTTTTCTCGAAAACGATCGCAAATGCGTTGGAATTACAAGAGACAAAAATGTTTGTAAACAAAACGAATAACTCATTTCGTATTTCAAAATCTTCCACAAAAAAGTGTATTGAGCGAAAAATGGCTTGACCTCTCTCTCAAAGAATATCTTCCTGTAGATTCTTACAATCACTCGGCATACTATATGATGTGAACCCTATGAGGGCTCAGTACCTACTTTTTTCACGCCTAGGCGGCAATCTGTTATAGATCTTACTCTATGCACTCGAGATATGTTGACCCAGGTTCATTCATGGAAGGTGTCACAAGATGAATCTCTATCAGATCATCGACACATTCTGTTTACGCTGGGGGGTATAAGCGCTCCAGAAAAAGAAAAATATAGGAACCCTCGTGCCACCAAGTGGGACCTCTTTCGGGAGGAACTCAAAGGAAGGCTTGTGGGTCTGCCATCAAAGTACGGGAGTGAGGCCGAAATAGATACAGTGGTGTCGTATCTTAACAAGGCCATCACTTCCTCGTACGAAAACAGCTGTCCACTTAAAGACAGAGCTACCAATGCTAGAACGCCATGGTGGAATTCAGAAATAGAAAACCACCGCAGGCTCACAAGAAAGCTTCTAAACAAAGCGAAACGCACAAACGTACCGCAACACTGGGAAGAATATAAGTCTGCCCAGAGAGCGTACAAAAAAGCCATTCGGCAAGCACAAAGAGACAGTTGGCGTGCCTACTGCGGAGAAATAAACACAATTTCTTCTGCGGCAAGGATATGCAAAGTTCTCTCCAAAGAACCGGGAAGAGGAGTGGGCGTGCTGTCTCTGTCAGATGGTCGAGAAACCACAACGGCAGAGGAAACATTGCAGCACCTCATCTCCACACACTTTCCGGATTCAGAAATATCCAACGAACCACCTTTGAGGACGAGCCCAGTGAGAAGAACTCACATGGACTATCAAACGGCGTCAAAGGTGGTTACATACGAGAAGGTGAGATGGGCTGTAAAGACATTCGCACCATTTAAATCACCAGGGGAAGATGGAATATTTCCGGCCCTCCTACAAGAGGGACTGGACACCATCATTTCCCTGCTTATGAAGATATTTCGGTCCTGTCTGGCTCTGGGCCACATACCAGTGGAATGGAGATCGGTTAGGATCGTATTTATCCCGAAACCAGGGAAAACAGATTATTCCGATGCCAAAGCGTATAGACCCATCAGCCTCACGTCTTTCCTCATGAAAACACTGGAGAGGCTGATAGATCGATACATCAGAGATGTGCCACTGCAAATAAACCCGCTGCATGCACAACAATATGCCTATCAGACTGGGAAGTCCACAGATGCGGCTCTCCATCATCTTGTCCATAAGATAGATGGAGTGCTAGCTGGTGGACGCTCAGCCATGGGAGTCTTTCTAGACATAGAAGGAGCATTTGACAATACGTCATTTGAATCGATATGCCATGCCGCGGATAGACATGGGGTCCATCAAACCTTGACCAGGTGGATTAGGGCCATGCTATCGCAGCGAGTGGTAAAAGCAGAACTATGTGGGAGGTCGGTTGCTGCCAAGGTATCAAGAGGATGTCCTCAAGGAGGGGTTTTATCACCACTACTATGGTGCCTGGTAGTAGACGAGCTCCTCATAGATTTGAATAGGCCAGGGCTATATGCGCAAGCATATGCAGATGACTTGGTAATAATGGCCCAAAATCAATCGGCGAACCGGCTAGGGAATCCAATAATGGAAGCCCTCAATAAAGTGGAACAATGGTGTTCCACCAGTGGATTGAGAGTCAATCCAGAAAAGGCGAACTTGGTATTATTCACTAAGAAACGCAAAATAGGAACACTTCCTGAGATATTTCTCTCGGGAAAGTGTCTCCAATATAAAAGCTCATCAAAGTACCTTGGAGTTATAATAGACTCCAAGCTCACTTGGAATGAGCACATTGCAAACCGCACTAAGAAGGCTGTATGCTGCTTCTGGGCATGCAGACGAGCCTTTGGAAAAACATGGGGTCTCACACCCAAGACCCTTCACTGGATATACACGGCAGTAATACGCCCAACACTTACGTACGGGTCCATTGTATGGTGGACCAGTACCAATAAGGGCAAGACCAACAGAGAACTGGATAAAGTCCAGCGACTGGCCTGCCTGGGAATATCAGGTGCTTTGAGAACGACGCCTACCAGGGCTCTTGAAGTTCTGTTAGGTCTGCCGCCTCTACACCTGTTCATACAATACGAAGCCATGAGAACTGCTTACCGACTCAACGGTGCAAACCAGTGGGTCGGAACAGAAGCAGATCATGGACACTCCCTCATATGGAATAAGGCAAAGGAAAACTGTCCCATCCTCATGATGAGAAGGGATAATACCTTGCCAATTCTGAATTTCAACAAAGCCCCAAACACTGTCATCCCTATGAGGGAAGAATGGAATGACACAACACCTGGCGTGCCTCCTCCCAATGAGTCAATCTGGTACACGGATGGCTCAAGATCTGAGGGCGGTTCAGGTGCAGGGGTATACAATGAAGAAACAGGTAAAGAAATTTCAGTTCCTTTGGGCGAATATGCCTCAGTGTTCCAGGCAGAAGTACTTGCAATACTCACCTGCGTCCAAGAAAACCTAATTATGAGAGGTCGTAGACCAATCACTATATGCTCGGACAGCAAAGCTGCAATACTGGCTTTGCAATCCAATAGGATCACATCCAAATTGGTGTCCGAGTGCAGAAAAGCCTTGGAAAACCTGGCAAAATCAAGAAAAGTCAGCCTCATGTGGGTCCCGGGACATTCGGGAATACCCGGAAACGAGGAGGCAGACAGACTGGCAAAGATCGGTTCCGGACGGACCGCGGTCGGACCGGAACCAATTTTGGGAATACCAAATAGCCTGGCAATGTCCTCTATAGAGGAACAGCTGCGAAAGCAATTCCTCAAAATATGGCAGGACACACCAGGAATGAGACAATCGAAGCTCCACATAAAGGAACCTTCGAAGAGGCTCGCAAAAGAGGTTTTATTCCTAAACAGGCGAAACCTTAAAATGGTAGTAGGGCTCCTAACGGGGCACAACCACCTCAATAGGCACCTAGAGCTTATTGGGATCAAGGATGACCCCCTTTGCAGATGGTGCCTGGAAGATGACGAAACGTCATCACATGTCCTCACTGAGTGTCCAGCACTGACGCATCAGAGGAGGGCTGTCCTTGGCCACATAATTTTGAGGCCAGAGGACGTAAAAGAGATTCAGCTGAGGAAGCTGCTGAACTTCTCCAAGGCAGTCGGCATACCCAGCTGAATGTCGTAACATGTGGGCGCACAATGGGCCCGAATAAGGAGGCCCACGTGCAGGGGATTCACCCGCCCACCAGTGCTTCGAAGAAGAAGAAGAAGAAGAAGATGTGAACCCTAAAACATATTCTATGTTCCAAATTTGATCTGGAATATCTCGAATACTAAAAGAGCTATGAAGAAAAGAAAAAAAAATCTTGAAATTTTGATAAAGCTCTGTAGAACGGTAAATATATCTAGAAAAAGCCCATGAAATCTTGATACTGACTTTCAAAAACTCCCGAAATTCTGACGCCCGTGATATTTTAGTATTTATATTTTACTTACATCAACAAAAACAGCATTTATATAATCTGTGTAACTATTTCCTTGGAATGATGTGAGGTATGGGCGGAAATTGTCAGCTGCAAGAGAAAATATTGTATTATTTTCCACAAAAGAACTGTTTTCCGTGACGGGAAAAAAGTTAACATTCTATCTTTGTTGACAGATAACAAAATGTCACTTTTTATAAAATTACTCTTTTTCCCTAAATAAAAGTTGATGTTGATGGCTTTTGTTGTTGTACCAGTTCCTAAAAATGAACCAATAATACCGTCTCCCGGAAAAATCTGCATGTCTTTTTCATCTTCCATTCCATACATTTTGAACATAGTCCAATAAATGAAGGAGGAAAAAAAGGCAAAGTTAACGTTAATTACGCACTATTTTCATCTTCCGGTTGGAAGTAGCTTTTGGTACCTCATTAAACATGAGACAAAGTTTGACTGGAAAACGCGTGCGATGGCGGAGAAAATGGCCCCAAAAGACCAGAAAAATAGGTTTTCAGCCAATATCTCCTAAAATATGGCAGTTAGAGATTTTCGGTTCAGGTGAAAATTGAAGTTCAGTTAATTTTCTACAAAAATGGTCATCATAATTTTTTTCGCAACATCAATATTTTCTGCAAAAAAATCGGGTTGAAAAACTGGAAATTTTGAGACTTGTGAAATATGCAAGTTTTGTACAAAATTTGAGCTGGGGGGTGTTGGAAATCCATTATTTTCAATGTTTTGGATTGTGGAAACCAATTGTAGATGGCGCCACCACATTTTACAGATTGGGAAAATCCTCGGTGCCATAAATGAGAAACCCTGTAACCAGACATTTTAGATGGATATTTATGTTTCCGAGGGTCTTGTTTTCCTCTCAGATGTGGCCTCAAGATAAACTTATTAGGAAAACAGGCTATAAAGATTAATTACACCAGGATGGACCTCACCAGTTGGCCTAAATCTAGCAACAATCAGCTTTGCACATGTGGCAAAATACTGAAGTTCATTAGGTTTTTGGTAAGGAAAACTGAAAATGCCTCAAGAGTGAAGAATATTCACCCATAATACTCAGCAACAATTTCTTGCAGATTCTCCGCAAATTGTTGCAAATTTTTTTGCAACCAGACTGATTCAGGTTTTTGGAATGAAGAGTTATAAACGTTCTTCATGTTTCATTCATTACAAAAAAATATATATTTTTTTATTTATTCATTTATTTATCAACGGGAGAACCCGATATAATGACACAAGAATAATATATTATAGACTAAAATAGTTGCTTGTAAACAAATGTTCTTGAATAAAAACAACATGAACAAATTCTCACCTTCTACAAAATTTGAATCTTCACTTTCTATATGTTTTGGGTTGGTGATAAAAGTTAATTTTAACGAAAAACGTGAATATTTGTTCAATATTCTTCACTTTTATCACTTTTCTTTCTATAATTGACAATAATATTTATCAAAACAATGACAAAAAACAAACCCAGTTATGCCTCCAAGCGTGGCCGCATGGTTTGTAGCAGACGACCCGAGCGCCACGTAGAGCACACATGCGGCGAACGACGGAGGAACGAAAGTAATGAATTATAGCGTGTACATTTAGATATAGGGTAGAGTGGGGGAATACCGGACATGGGGGAAATACCGGCCATAGATTTTCTCGGTACTCTGATCTCTTGCGAACTACCGAACAAACCACACGCCACTGTCTGATCGCGTACGGCACTCATCTCGAGTTTCACAGTTGCAAGTGAACGTGTTTTTTTGTTATCGGGAATTTTCTCAAAAAACACTCCTCGTTATAAGGAACAAGTATTTTCAGAGGTATGTATCAATTAGTCAGTAAGTGCTGGAATAGTGAAAAAAATATTCATAGACTTAGGAGAGCTAGATATATCATGATATTGCTGTTCATCAACAATAACCTCACATATATTTTTGAAAAAAGAGTTTCACTTGAACAACGCATATGGGGGAATCCCGGCCATGCTCTTGCGGGTAATAGCAGCCTGGCCGGCATTACCCCTGAGGAAATCAAATTCAACATATTATTATTATTTTCAGATGCCGCGGAAATACGTGAGGAAAACTAAGAAAGCTCCTTGGACTACGGAAAGTTTGCAAGCTGCTATGAATGCTTTGAACGAGGTTGCAAGAAGATTTGGTATTCCAAGAGCGACTCTACAAGATAGACAGAGAAACCACAATATTTCAAAACCGAAGCTTGGTCGTTCACCAGTTTATTTCTGTGAAAATCACGTGAGATCAATTGCTAAGAGTGCATCCCAAAAACTTTTCTGTTTCGAGCCAGGAGCTATTTCACTTCCAGTTAGCTGATTATAATATCTATAAGGCACAGATCCGACCTGTCCTGGAATACTGTTCCCATATTTGGAGTGCAGCAACCAATCATACCCTGAAACTGTTGGATTCTGTCCAAAAAAGTTCAATTCGTCTCGTGGCTGATGCCTCTCTCACAAACTCACTCACTTTTCTGGAACACCGTAGAAAAGTTGGTGATCTGGCTCTATTCTATAGATATTTTCATGGACGATGCTCTTCTGAAATATCAACGATTGTTCCTCACTTGGCGGTCCCCGCGAGATTAACCCGTCGAGTTGGGGCTTATTCGTACCCCTTCGTGGTCACTTTGGAGACCTGCAGAACATCTCTCTCCAAAGACTCGTTCATCCAACGAACAGCGAGGTTCCGGAACACATTGCCAAGGGATGTGTTCCCCGAGGCATATAACCTCCAGATATTCAAGAAGAACACCAATTCCTACCTTATTTCCGTTGGTTCTCACGATGTTCTCTGAACATCACAAGATATCCCTCTTCGTGGGAACCAGAACTTAAAAAAAAGGTTCAAGAAAAGGAATAAGTGGAGCATAGTAGGGAGTTCGGGAAAAATCGTGAGCTCTGGTTGAGGTTTGTGATGTGCGCAGGATGGGCTCACAGCTTATAGTACCGGCAGAAAAGGAAGCAAGAATTTCATTTGCGATTTCTGCCAATGAAGTAATTCAATTTCTTCATCTGGGGTAAAACCAGCCTCTGGCCGTATTTACCCCCAAGGTGCGGGTAATGCCGGCCAAAACGACTTTTTGTTTTTATCATTATAAATTTCATAATTTTATGTATTCATTGGAAACGAGAATATATTCTGTTTTTATGATATCTGAGCTTTAACTTAATGTATCTATCGTTAATAAAAACCAATAATCATCATCGCTACATCGAGAAATGCTTAAGGGGCCGGGATTCCCCCACTTTACCCTACTGGTTTTTCCCGGGATATCAAAGGTATGACTTATATACATCGATGGAAAGGTGGGAATTCCTCCGTTACACTAGTTAAGGTGTTAAAATGTTAGAAATAAAGAGCACGGAGAAAAAAAAAACACCGAAAAAAAAGTGCGTTTCTTCCTTGACCCCGCTTTTTTTAATTTTATTGAAAAATGGACGACTTCGTCTAACAATTAAAGTAATTGCACAATCGAAAAGTAGACCTTTTTAGCTTTTAAATGATGTATCATAGAAACCAATCGGATCATGTATACATTTTTAATTGATGGTTGTTCACAAAATTTCCCCGCGCTCCAAAGACAGCAAAAAATTGGGATTCAATAAACAAAGATTGAATGAAAATTAAAAAAAATTAGGGTATACAAATTTCAGGGATGACAAAGGACCTTATAAGGACCCATAATCAAGAAAATTTTGAGTAAATTAGTGCAATACAAAAAAAATAGGAACAAATTCCTGGCGAGGTCAAAATTGACCGGGAGCAGAAAGTTTGACCCATGTTCCGATATGGCTAAAAGAGTCAAGCGTGACTCAATTCACAGGGTATGATAGCAGCAGAATTCCTCTTTCACATGAACTTTGAATCATGAGAAAATATGCATTTTTAACAAAGTTATTGAATAATTTGTCCCTCCGCCGATGTGTAAATACACGGACTGTGCTCTCCGTCATACAACACAGAAGCTCATTATTCGAGGTGCGCTTCGTGTCGTTTTTCTCGAAACTGGGCAAATTTTCGAGAAAAATGATGAGGACCATTTTTGTAGAAAATTAACTGAACATCAATTTTTATCTGAACCGAAAATCTCTAACTGCCATATTTTAGCAGATATTGGCTGAAAACCTATTTTTCTGGTCTTTTGGGGCCATTATCTCCGCCATCGCACGCGTTTTCCAGTCAAACTTTGTCTCATGTTTAATGGGGTACCAAAAGCTACTTCCAACCGGAAGATGAAAATAGTGCGTAATTAATGTTAACTTTTTCCCCTTATTTATTGGACTAATAGGTATCTCCGCGGTTCCGTAAACTACCTACAGTTTTTTGTGTCCTCCAGTTAGAATTCAATACTTTGTCCCCAGTATAATGAATAACCATTTTGTGGTTTATTTGTCATAATAGGTACAACTAAATAGGTGTAGCTTACCAAGAACTACCCTACATCTGCATAATCCGATTTTTGTACCTATTGTCGTAATAACAAACGAGTCCCCTCTTGGTTAGGATGAAAGAACAAGTACAATATAAAGAAAAGACATCGACGAATAAAAATTTGCTGAACATATGTCTGACTGACTTACCGAAAATTGTCAAAATATGGCGAAATGGAATGATATTAAAATCAGAGGAAGAGAAGATAACCAAAAAAGAACAATCAAATAGTTCGTTTGCATTCTCCTGAACATTACTTCCTGTTCAGTTGGTATTCACTCCTAAAATCTGAGTAAGAAATTGGTTAATTTAGATCTATTAGAAAAAACCCTATAACTCACACATAGTTCTGACTACTATACTGTCACTATGGAGTGTCAAAAGACGAGAGCGAAATGATCCATCCAGAATTATTTTCCATTTCAGTGGAAAACGGGCAAAATTCGTTCCCGAAACGTTCAAATTGGAATTTAATTTTTTTAGTAAATATATATTTTTCTTCAAACATTTTTCAAAGGAGTAGTCATTGACTATCGATAACATTTTTCTCTTAGGTGCCTTGTATTGGAATTTCATGCGCATTAACAATCATCTGATTTGTCGATCCTTTCTACAGGTTTATTGAAATAATACTCATACTTTTATTTAAGAATTCAGATAAGTGGATACCTACAGTGTTTTTCAGATATTTAGATGACACCTTGTTTATCTTTCTTGTGATTTCATTGGCTTCGCTTCGCTTTGCGTCGTTCGTCTAAGTGTCATTATAATTGTGCAGAAAAGTGGCACTGTGCGCACTTTCTTTTTATGTTCAGGTTCCCAGGAAATAAGGTAGGAATTGGTGTTCTTCTTAGATTTCTGGAGATTATATGCCTCGGGGAACACCTCCCTTGGCAATGTGTTCCAGAGGCTCACTGTGCGTTGGATGAACGAGTCTTTGGAAAGAGATGTTCTGCAGGTCTCCAAAGTGAACACGAAGGGGCGCGAAGCCTCAACTCGACGGGTTAATCTCGCGGGGACTGCCAAGGGAGGAACAATTGTTGATATTTCAGAAGAGCATCGTCCATGAAGAAATCCATAAAATAGAGCCAGATCGCCAAATTTTCGTCGGTGTTCCAGAGAAGTGAGTGAGTTTGTGAGCGAGGCATCACCCACGAGACGAATTGCCCTTTTTTGGATAGAATCCAACAGTTTCAGGGTATGTTTGGGTGCTGCACTCCAAATATGGGAACAGTATTCCAGGACAGGTCGGATCTGTGCCTTATAGATCATAACCAGCTGACTGGAAGTGAAATAGCTCCTGGCCCGAAACAGAAAATCAAGTTTATGGGATGCAGTTTTCGCAATTGATACGTGATTTTCCCAAGAAAGGTTATTGCTGATAGTGATCCCAAGCATCGAAATGGATGTCTCCAAAGGTATGGTTACTCCTGACAAGCTTATGTTGGGCACAGTGAGATCGGCTTCTCTAGAGAAAAGGCATACTTGTGTTTTGTTTGCATTGAGATCTACCAAGTTATTGGATCCCCATTTGAGAATTGTTGCCAAGTCCATATTTATAATGTCAACATTTTTCCCTCGTTCGTTTCTGATTTGCCTGGCTGGAATTGGAGCCCAGGAAGAGAAGGGGGTATGGAGGGTACTATCATCCGCGAAGCTGTGTACTGGACATGAAGTTTCTTCCAACAAATCGTTGATATGGGGTAGAAATAGTGTTGGTGCTAGAATTTTATATATATATATTTTATGCGCATCATCTGATTTGTCCTTACTACAGGTATATTGAAATAATACTCATGCTATTATTTAAAAATTCAGACAAGTGGATTAAGTGTTTCTAAAATATTTAGATAACACCTTGTTCGTTTTTCTCGTGATTTCATTTGCTTCGCTTCGCGTCGTTCGTCTATCACGATAATTTTTAATGATAATAATAATAATAATAATAATAATATTTATTCTCATTTCTACATGAAGTATCTCAGATATACAATTATTGCGAATAAATATCAAGAATACTTGATCCTAAAAGAAAGATGTTAAAGGGTATTATACATGATGCCATGCCCAAGTACACTTTAGCCTAAGCTAGTCTGTGTAACTCAGACAAATTATATATATATATATATATTTCTTATAATGATTCAATAATATAAAGAAGGAGAAAAAATTAAAAAATAACATGAAGAATGTACTTCTGAAAAGAGTTGATGAATAAATAATTAAGCTGAAGAAAGATATTTCCGAGATTGATTTAGAACAATTAACATATTCCTAAAATTTCCAAATATATAATTTATGAACTATATAAATATGAGGGACTGTCTCAGATGTATCTATAATATAGTCACGGTTGAAGTTGATAACCAATGTGTTATTTTCGACTTGAAAGTCTTGATGTAGATTTCTTTTTTCAAACTCATTGGTAGATGGTTATATAATTTCTGACCAATGTATGAAAAGCGTCGTTGCCCAATTGATTTCTGAGATCTAGGAAGGACAATATTAGAATTGTCTCTAAAGCGTGTTGAATGAGCATGCTGTGAGTTGGTAGTATTTATTAAATTATTTTTAACTAGTTGTAATAATGAGTTTTTGTAAAATAATTGTCTGATGTTCAATAGTGCTGTATTCTGAAAGAGCAAATGTGACGAAAATAGTGGGTTGAGTTTGTAGATTATCTTGATAACTTTTTTTTGTGCAATTGTGCGGAAAAATGACACTTCGCGCACTTCCTAGGAAAATGACTACTTATATGCTTACGTGGAACGATGAGCACGTCTCTATTCTTCTTACGATTATCCCCTCTGTGCCCTCCTGCACAGTCTCCTATGGTGAAACGTGGAGTTTGTTTACAAATAAGCATATATTCCCTTTGGTATTCGTTGAGTTTTGTTATGGTGCTTTTTGTAGATTTCTGCTTCAATCTTTGGGACAGTTCATTGACGGGAAACCAAGAATTTCCACAAGTAACGTGCTCTTCTAATGTATCATAGACGAATTTATACTGCTCCTAAAAACAAATTAAACAATAAAAATAAGCTTCTATTTCTTATTTAAACTTAGGGCGGCTTATCAGAATTATACAGCCATATAATGGAAGAACTCTAGCTATCATAGATACATAGGTAAAACGAGGTAACCCATGAAAACAATATTCGAAGTACATCTTGCACATTTTAAATATAGTAGAATAGATGAATCGAGTATAGCGGAGCGGAACATAACATCAATCAAAATCATGACAAATATGAAAAACCTCGAATTAATCAGAGAAATTCAAGATGTAGAAAAATTAGATGCATCTGGAAGACTATAGATATAGTTGAGTTACTATAACGCTATACTATAAATGTTCATGTAGCTAACATATATGTTTTTTGTCTGATATCAGTGGCAGTATAGGTACTTACTACATTATCAACTAGGCCTTTCCTTGATTGTCTCAATTTCTTCAGGTATCCAAATACATCAAACTTATCCTCTTCTTCGGCCAATTCCATATTAGCGTCCACTGATAAATATACTCCTGATCTTCCACCGCCATCACTAGAAATTATTAGGCATTGAAATGATAAGGCATTGAAATAATTAGGCTTTAAAATGTATATGAAAAAATAATTAGGCATTAAAATGTATATAATACTTATTTATTATACAAGGAAAAAAAGTAGTAGATTTTAGCTCCAGGTTGTGTTGTCAACAAACCGTGAGCTAAAATCTAATATTTTTCCCGTGTATAAAACACTATTTTTTTCTGTGACAGAAGAAAAGACGAATCAATATTGAGGAGATATTACATCATTTTGAAATCTGAAAATTATCGACATGAAATTTTAAGTTTTTAATAGTAGGGACACCGCGTTGTAGGCATCTTTATCATTCATTTGAAGTAATCAAATATCTGATGTCACTTCTGTCAGTCTAATTCTGTGATTTGATTTCAAAAAATTGCGAATTAAGTGGTTGTTCAGTAATAATATACATAACCGCGAAGTCCAATGGAAGATAAAAGGACTTGCAGTTCTTTCTCGGAGACGGTATTATTGACTCATTTTTCGGAACTATAGCACAACAATAGCCATCAACAGTGTATATATATGTGATATATATCCGGGAAAAAAGTACTAACTTATTTTCCACAGGAAAAAAGTAATTTATGAAAAGTGACATTTTATAACCTGCCAACAGGGATGAGATGCCAAACTTTTTCCCGTCACAGAAAAAAAAAAAGTTTTCTCTAAGCAGCATAAAAAGTGGCTTTCATATGACACTCAACAGGCAGGAAAGGTGTATTTTCTCTGTCTGGGCAGGACAAGTTTGTTGCTATGCAAAGTTCCAAGGAATTTGAATGAAATTGGTAATCAAAATTTACACTGACAAATGGTGAACACAAAATGATGGAGTTTTCAATAAAAAATTACACAAAATTGGTTATATAACATTTGGAGGAAAAATTATGTTTCACACGGCAGCAAATGCAGATTGACTGCCTTGTCTGTATTCCAAGCCTCGCTACGCTCGCCAATGAACTATCAGCCGAGGCAGTCAATCTACTACTTTGCTGCTTAGTAAAACAAGAGTTCTCGACCTGCTGCGATGGATTCGGAATCATCAAAATCAACAGTGTCATGTGTACTTCTTGAAAATCATTATTCTAAGCCATATACTATTATTCACAGCCTGTACAGAACCATTATTGGCCTACTTGCAACCTTTCAAATTCAAATAAGTTTCTCGAATACGAATAAGCCATAAATCAAAATTTTACAGTGGTTTTCTATTTTTTTAATCGAACAAGGAATCCCATAATCGAATCTTTTCTATAAAAATGAAGTGATACCGAAGATTGGAAGAGAGAGAGAAGAAGATGCCTACCCCATTATTACCTACGCTACCGGTTAATTTCTTCGAATGATATTAATTTTCGTAGAAATCGGTTGAGTGGTTTGAAAGTCATGTTGAGAAAACTAGTTTTGTCCCAAACTTCAACAGACTGTATCGTTGTTATAGCCCAAGAGCCACCTGCAAATTTCGACCGTCATCTGATGATGCAATGATATAATATGTCCCAGAAGCATGTAGAAACATTGTATTTTTTCAAACGACGCCTGTGTCAATCACTATCCTCAGCAAAATGATTGAAAAATTGCACTTTCTGGTGCGGTAATTTGCACTCAATTTCGATAAGAATTATGCCTATATCTCAAAAACCTACCTGTGCCACCTCTCAATTCTGAACCAAATCCACGGCACAGCGATGTATTTGCTGTCATTATTCCGGACATCCTTTCGTCATGTTATAACGAGTTGAAACAGAAAGGAAATGAAAAAGGATAATGCCCCCCTTGCTAATATCCAAACGTGCCGCGATTCAAACTGATCTAAGTTAGTGAGTATTCATAGCTCAAAATCGTGTTATACGACTTATATTCAATTTAAAACGAACCGATTCATGTAGACCCAAATTCAAGGAGTTTGAAATACTTACAACACCATGTATCTACATATATCACTGTGTTGTATATATAAAAAAATGCAAAGTAAGTTACAAACAAACTCTCAGTTCCACAGATATCCAACAAGAAGTGGTGACTTGCTCAGAACAAAAAAACTATTACTTCGTCAGTTACACAGAGAAAAACGGTCCAGGTACCCAAGTACACTTGAGTAAAATTTAATACCCACAAATATATTAATGAACTTTTGTACCATTACAATAGGTGAAATTTTTTTTCTGATATCGACTTCCAGTGGCAGGTTAACTATGCTCCTGCAACAGGCCATCTTTCTTGTGCTTGATTAATTTTTATCGATGTGTTTAATACTCAGTATACAACAATCCACCTACCATTAATATAATTGCCCCTCAATCCTTGTTTTCTATGAGTGAAAGGAATAATTCTGCCATTATTACCAGTTTAATAACAACAGGTAACAGTTCACTTGATTTCTCTGTTTCGTCATCATTCGGCTAGTTTCGAATACCCACGATTACGCCACGAGCTGACTGCGCAACTCTTCTGCACTTCATTCAGTCTGTATCTGTACTAAGAACTGGTGTTTGCGAACTTTTATGCGTGCCTTTTTCTATTCTGGAACATTTGTGTTGTGCATGTAAGTTAAGTGATTGTGACTATTCCAAAAACATTTCTCCCAGTGACATTATCACTATGGAGCGACTAGCCCCAGGCCGAGAGTTGAAAAATAGAAGCAGCATAAGCAGTTCATCGACGACACTTTGAAACAGCAGGGTTTGGCGAAGTTTACGCAAAACTCTTCTTTCTTTCTTGGTGAGTAATATACCATTCCTTTTTCTCCGTGCATGAAAAAATCTCTTTGGGCACAAACGTTTTTTAGTGGTATGTTTTTTTTTCTTCCGAAAATGATTCTAAGCCCTCTAGTTCCTCATTTTGGTTGATCATTTGCAATTAATTGTTACATCTGATATTATATGTCCGTTTTATTCGTGGTTCTTGCCATTTATTTTTCATTTGAAGAGGTTATATTTTGAAAATATCTCCTATTTTGGTTGTGACCTCTCAATATCTTTATCGAGTGTGCTCTTTAATATCGAAATTTCAGTAGGAAGTCACTTGTTAAGTAGTTCAAATTTTGTTGAAGATTAAAGAAATATATAATCTCAGAAAAATAAATGAATAATTGTTGATCTCAAGTTATTACCCAAACCGAGGAGTTTTTACGGTTATATTTCACGAAAGCCGAGAAATAAATTGGGAAATATCAAAATGGAAAGACTTTCTACTGTGAATGTTTGCAAAAAAATCTTATTTCTGATAGTAGGTACACGGGAAAAAATTTCAGGAAACGGATCTTGATTTTTCTTATCCGGTGTCTCTGGATTTGAGTCAAAGTGAAGTTTTATAAAGAATGGCCTTACTTGGATGGGCTCACGGGACGTTCGCTACCTGTTAAGAGTTTATTCTTCCAATGAATCTCTTGAAATAGGAATATTTGTTTGAATTTTCAAGAAAATAATAGGAGAAATTTAACACATTATAGAGAGAAATTTTTTTATTTCAGGGTGCTGATGGTAATGATGTACCTGATTAAAACTTGATGCCACTTGATCTGAATTCAAGAGGATCTAGTATACCCCCGCGGCCCGCAGATACTCCATCAACGTCTGAAATATATTTGTATATGAGTCAGTTCGACAACTATTGTATATTGTAAATAATTATTTCAAGTTCATTTATTTATGTAGTTTGTACTGAAATTACAAATGACTAGAATATATTATATAATGTACCTATATTTTGTACAATGTTTTTTCTCTTCTATAGATTCACCATCCGCATTGAAAATATTTTCAGAGGTATGCACATTGAACATCCCCAATATTTCAATTGAATTGCAGATCTGAGATGATTAAATTATGTTCCAGAGACGAGTAATTTATGATCCGAGGACAACTCAATAATGTTTCTGGAGTAATTGTATTCTTCAGTGGTAGTAATTAAAGGATGTACCCAACATCAGTTAGATATATCCCAGAGAATATCACCTATTTTTCTGTAACAGCATGCTTTTTCACCTGTGGCAACTATATAGTATTGAAAATCTATTAAACTATTGAATAACTATCATCGAAGTGTGAACCTACAACAGGTGAAGAAGTCTGTAAGATAATATAGCAATGTTTCAAAGGGAATTATTTAATGTTCAATGGTAATTAAACTGTCTAATCAATGTTATTCAACACTTCAATAATCCTGAGTTGATTTTAAATATATTCATTCATTAACGATCAATGAACTATATAATTGAGTGTCTGTTGCAGGTATACCAATTCAGGTGAAATATTTTATCTACCACTATCATACTGTACATCTGTCCCATATAGTATTCAAGTTTTTAACTGTGACTATTAAATGTTTAATAACCATTATTAAAGTTTTTTCTCTGTGTAATTAATTATTTTTATCAAAAATGTAGTCAAATAGACACAATTGTATGACATCAAAAGTCCAATTATTTTATTCTATCAAAAAACTGTCCATGACAACATATCATCAAATTGATGTACAGGGTCGTGAAATACAATAAAATATACAGTATGAATCTCAAACATTGCCCCCCGCCGTGAAGAAATTCTACAAATTTTTCTCTCATTCTTCTATTAGGCATAGCTTGGTTACTGGAGGTGAACCTGTCAAAGAAGACTTGAAAAATATCAAAATAGACTAGTCCAAACTGCACAACGATAACTTGAATGGTTTTAGAGATATAAGCATTTGAAATGGGTCAGAATATAACTGGTCACCCGGTATAATATTCGATGGACCAGTGTAAAACTCATGTGATGCTCGCACAACAAGTATTCAAATCCACATGTTGAGTTTTATGCTGATCCATCGGATATTATCTTTCGACGGGGCGAAATATTCCCGGAAATATTGACGCTCTGCCACTAACTTAGATCAGTTTGAGTCGCGGCACGATTGGATATTCACAAAGGGGGCATTATCCCCTTTCATTTGCTTTTGTGTACCATTAAGATGCACAATTTTCATATTTTTTATGAGCCCTTTTTGTTGCATGGACCTGCGTCATCATCTATATTGACTTATATGCATTACTCTAGTATTGTCATAACTTTAATACAAAATATTGGATCGTTGGATTAGTAGTAATGTTCAAATGTTCATCATTCGCTCCAAACGAAAGTAAGATATTGTATTTGACAAATTTCAAATCTTGAAATAGTTACCAAGGTAGTAAAAAATATGGTTATTATCAATTGACCTAGATTATATTCCGAGGCGCCAGCCGAGGGATATATAAAGTCCCGTGGTAATGATATTGTTTACTACCAAGGTGTATATTACATTTTTCTCACCACTAGCGATATATTTCAATCATACAGGGTGGTCCATTTTTGATGCGGAAAATTCAACAGCGTATAGTACTCGTTGAAATAATAAATAAACTTCCTATGAACATATACTTTCAAACGCTTCGTTTTCGAGATATAGGGTGTTCAAGTTCATATTACTTCATGTAAAAAGTCGTTATTGTTGTCAACTTTATTTAAGATAAATTCCGAAAAAGACACTCTCTTCTCAGGATCTTCAGGATGTAAATGTTGTACCGGCATCAAATGAGAAGGCTTCTTGTGATCTAAATGTAGTGTTCGTAAAATTTTCGATTTTGAAACGTGAAAAAAAGTAGGAACTATTACTCTTATTTATGCGGTGCAATAGTATTAACTGATAACTAGTATTGAAAGAAAAAAGAGAACCAAAATTACTAATAGCATGACATGATATTAGTTTATAAATTACCTGCAACTGTTGAGCTGCTTTTCTAGAACTTATTTGTTGGTTAACATAAAAAAAATCTAAGAATGTGATTGTTATCATTTATTCTCAGTGGGCCATTATTTCGGTATTGTTCATTATTGCCACGTTACCCAAACTGACGGAAACGTGAGTGAGTTTTGATAGAGAAGACTCGTGCATTAGGTAGGGAAGCGATTTCCATTACAAAATCCGTAAACGAAATGAATATCTGCATACTCTTCAGTACTAAATCCCATAGGCATATATTGACAAACGGCAAAATTGAAATAAAATTATCACCCTTTTTGATAAAAACACGGAATAACTCCAATTTGTTATTTCTTTGATTGACAGAACTTTTAGAGTGACAGCACATATAAACAGTGAACAGTGAGCAACTGAGCATAGCCTACTTCTTTGATTGATATCAAGTAGTATTATTCAACTAAAAAAATTTATAAAATCTTACAAGCGAGCTTTTTTCATTGAAACTTGAAAAATAAATGAAAAATAATTACCCGAAAAATTTGTTTAATTATTACCTTCGCCACCCCAGATTCAGCCGCCACTGAATAGTTTTTATGAATAATTTTTATTTATTTTAATAAAGCTCAAAAATTTCAGTATCTGTGAAAAATGTCATTAATTTATCTACCGTTTCTGACTTTTTATTAAAAAAATATATTCAGAATAAGCGTATTTTTGACACCCAATATCTCAAAAACGAAGCGTTTACAACTAGGAAGTTTTTTTCATTATTTCAACGAGTACTTTACTGTTAAATTTTCCGTATTAAAAAACGGACCAACCTGTATAGTTGTGCGAAACTGCAATATGACCATATTAATTGTTACTATGAAAGCAGTTCTTCTCAATTCTAATCAAAATCTGGTAGCCATCACCATGACAGCATAATATGACAAGTCGTTATCGATTAATACCTACCAGATTCGAGTGCCTTTATTCCTGCGAATCTCGTATGAGAACAGTAAATTCGTGTTAATTAAAGAGGTGACTATGCCTTTATTGACTAGTAGTCAATAAAATGACGAAAACCACTTTGATAGAACAAAAACACACTTAAACGTCTTGAAAAGGAGTAAATAATGGTTGGTTATGGCTATATTGGTGGTATAGTGGTGGAAAAACTATGGTATCTTACTTGCAATGTACTACCATGGGACCGGCCTCATTGGATTTGATCACGTGTCCTACCACTGCCCGGACCCTTCTCCTGAACTCTAGAAGGGCATTCGTGAAAGGACACGAATGGCTGTGCCACTGTGTATAATGAAATTGAAGGATTGTTCTCTCTTCCGTGATGCCCTGCGGGAGATTTTTCCAATATAAAAAGGATGGCTCGATTATATTATCATGCATTGTATATTATGTAAATATATCGAATAAATTGTCTAGGGTATTTCTACTGATATTGATATTATGATATTAGTGAGCCTTTGTTTCGAATGGATGAACTTCTTACTTCACCATCCTTCTTGCTCAACCTGAAGGTCCTTATATGGAAATTGGCTAGCTCTTCCTCTACTAATATTCGGAGGTTTATGCCTCCATAAGCTTCTTCTATATCTTTGGATGCTGGCCAGTACTGAACACACATCACCTGAAGAGAATTGTTGTATTAATGGAGACAAATAGTCGAATAAAGGTATGTTCATGCTTGTACGAATTCCGCAAAATTTATGCGAATAAAATGGCGACTGCGAATATAGCAATGAAGTTGAAATATTTGAACTTTTTTACGAATTCGGATGGAATCATAACCACACAGTAATCACAAAATGTGTTGTTATTTTGATATAAAAATTGGAGAGCAGAGAGCAGAGGCCGAAAAAAGACGAGACTAGGTAACTACACAAAATTATAAATATAAATTTCATCATTTCTTCAATTGATTCCATTTTCTTCGCAGGATGGATATCAAAGTATCATTTGTATCGTCTCTATAGAGCTAATGATGTATCCAGATGCAAAAAAGGAGCTGTAGTGCTCGAAACATTTTCAAATGCCGAACAATTTATGGAGATTGTTACAGCCCTAATAAATATTTCAATTACTTTCGTGTAACGTGCCTTCAATTTGATGAACTTCTATCAATGGTGGTACCAGAAATTAAGAAATTATATAGGTAATATGACAACAGAAACCTTATCTCCTGCAAATTTTGTCGCATGAGTATGAACGTAGAATTCTGTTAAGAATTTCATATTTTGCAATCAGCATAAATTTTGCGAAATTCGTACAAGCATGAACAAACCTTAATGGTTTCAAGAAACCACAAATGCTTGGTCAGCAAGAATTTTTAAGAAACAGCTCTACTAGTCTACAGAGTGGAGTACTCTCCCGAGAAGCTCAATAACTGATATTATGATCAAACATCAAATTTTAATAAAAAATGACCGGTCAGCAAATTTCAATTTCGGTTAGTAAATCATATAGTTTCCCATTGACCCCTTTCGTATTCAACTAATTATTTAGTCGATTCAGTTTTGTGCAGAAATTAATGTTGTAGAAATATAACATCTTTTGATTTGTAATCTTACCTTGATGAAATCGAAGGTTTTCGTCAACATTACTATACAACTCGCATTTTCTTGCCAAACCATCCGCCAAAAGTCTGCAACTGTTTCTTCTGTAGGGCCCTGCGTGACTATGTAGGCGTTTGGTTTCAATAAGCTCTAAAAATGATCCAGACATACAAGATGAATTCAACTTGTAAAGAAACACTATTTCCTAACAATTTACAAGTCATATGATAGATACAAGTGGCATTAGTTTCAGATCTTTGTGAGAAAACTGATGCCACTGTCACCTTATCCCAGGCAACCAGATGACGAATGATCACGTCACTGTGACGTCCCTAATTGGAGATTCTTCGTCAGAGACGTCACACTCCAATTCATGACGTCAATATGACGTACTTTCTATGACGTGATAATCCCGTCATCGTTTCGACGTCGAGTGAATGTCACTTGGATGGTTGAAAGAAGACGACAGTTTCATGACGTTGCAGGGACGTCCTGTCGACGTCAAATTTTCCCAAACCTTCTCTAATCCATGGATACTTATATATTATCATGTGAAACAGAAGTATAACTCATGAAAGCAAATCAACATGCAAGTTTCATTGGAATTATTAATATACCCGAAAAGTAGAAGACAACTTTTTTTCTAAAAATCTTTGACACACTGATGTGTATCTCGGAAACCAACAAGCTATGTATATACACAAATGATTGTTTAGGTATACCTATATTGATACCTTTACTCTTATGACGTTGCAGTGACGTCTCTATGACGTCTAAAAATCACGTCAGTGTGACGTACCAATTTGGTGAGCTTCGTCATTCAGGAAATTTTTCAATAATTTGCTTTTTAGATTTTTGTTGGGTGACAAAGAGTGCATCAATATACATTATTCAACAAAGTGAAGCCGAATTCACCAACATCCTTTCCATTGCTATCAAACTATTCTTTGTTTGCTTACATGTCGCCGACACAAACTACATAATTTTTGATACAAATACGAGTTACTGATTGCATTCTGATGGAGATGCGTACTGAAGGATAGCGCTGCTGAATATTCGATTAAATGAATATTACACAGGAGGTACCCACCAAGCAGACTCAAAAATGCATAATCAATATTATATAATGTCATCAGAGCCCAGTAGTGTTTATCACACCATGTGAAAGGAATCTTTTTTACTTATCATCGCGAAATTTATTCATCATTTTGACGTCATTATGACGTCAGTCGGACGTCACAGTTTGGTGAGTGAATGACGTCAATACGACGTGAGTAATATGACGTCATTGGGCATATTCACGTCATTATCACGTCATGCGACGTCAACTACTGACGTCACCTTGGTCATTCAAGTGACGTAAAAAAGACGTCACTGGAACGTCATCTGGTTGCCTGGGATATGATTATTACTTTTCTCATAACTTCATGGTGATATTTGTCACTCTAGATGGCATAACTTTAAAGTGTGAAACTCTCAAGTGATTATTTATACTTCTTAAAACTTCTCATATTCCAATGATCTTCCTATTATATTCCATTTGGAATATTGGAATGTCCTAGGAATAATCTGGAATATTCTAGAATATTAGAGTAATAGAAAACTTCAGTTTCATTTACCTATATCTATTATACGTAAGAATAATCATGACTGACGAGTTCCAAAAGTTACTTTCTGATTTATTCTCGACTGTGAACCATATTGATTACAGTGATTTCTATATTGAAACAAAATTGAATAAAGGGATTCAACATGATTTACAATGATTTCCGAGAAAAAGTCTCATTCATATGGGTTAATCTTGAATTTCGAGACAAAATCACATTTTTCGATGAAGTGGCTGTTGTTTATTTCTCATGTTCTAGTAGAGGGAAAATAATATTCCCATGAAGAGAAAAAAAAAGCCAGTAGGGAAATGTAATACATACATAATGTTTACGTAATTTCTGCATCAACTCTATTTTTACTTTGGTCGTCACTATACCTTAACTACGTGTTTATAACGTGACCGCAACTATAGTAAATATTACCACAGTTGCAACTATGAATTCTAGTTAGGCAATCTATTGTTTTCAAAATCAACAGGTATACGGATATAGTCCAGCCGCTACTTATACAGGGTGTACAGGGTGAGTCAAAAATGCACCGAGCTTTCTGGAGGTGATAGTACATTGAAAAATAAGTTTAGTTTGATAAATAAACCAGTGGTCCAAAATGTATATTAAGAAATATATATCCTTTCGCATAACGTCTGAACGGTAAAAGCCACCAGATTGATATTTTCTGCATAAATGTATGTTGATAAGATACATTCTTCTGATACACTTTCACATTTCTGAAATTGTTTTAGCGGGTGTTTTTAGTGGATCATGATTATCTGAAAACAACTTTTTTCCGCCTATTCTTTTTGTGGCAGAATAGAAGCATTTCAGAAAGTGAATAAAATTACATAAAAAAGGTACTGTTATCAAAAAACAAAAATAGTAACCGTAGTAACTAATAAACAACAATTTTTCAGTTTCTCAGTTGAAAATCTCAGCGATAATATTACTAAGCAAAAAAACTGAACAAGGAAATCAACAATAACAATGTTCATGCCATGAATGTCAATATCAAGAACAACATTGATTATGGCCTCCTAAAATATATCAAGATGTCGAACAGCACTTTATCAAGACTCCTTCATCCATAGAACGGCTAGGCTCTGGAATTCATTGCCTGTGGAAGTATTCCCAACAGCACATAATCTCCAAAAGTTCAAAAAAAATTCCAATTCCTACCTCCTGTCCCTATCCTCCCTAGGAACGCACGATGTTCTTTGAACATTATAGGGATTCCCTTTCGTGCGCTCCAAGCGATAAAAAAAAATAACAACTCAAATATCTCGCAAACGGTTACAATTTTTGTATTCTGATAGGAGTACCGTTTTTGTGTGATTTTTTTTTCTCTCTCAAATTCTCCTATTTTCCCACCAAAAAGAATACAAGGATAAAAGTTGTCTTCAGAAAATCATGACCCAGCCACTAAAAACACCCTCCATAACAATATGAGAAATGTAGAAGTGTATCAGAAAAATGTATTTTATCAACAGACATTCATGCACGAAATCTCAATTTCGTGGCTTTCACTGTTTAGAAGTTATACAGGAACATTATTTCAATTTTATCAACTTTGGAAGGATATATCACCCTTAAGATACATTTTGGGATATTAGTTCATTAATCGAACACATTTACGTACACATTTTTGACTCACCCTGTAGATAGTACCTACAATGATAGACAGATAGGGAAAAAACGCCCATTAGAAGTCGAATTCATTATTTTTTCGAAGCAAAAAATGAAGCCGATTCAGGTAATTTGGAATGAGGTGAATTTTCGCATATGGACATTTGAATGCATGAGGAAAACTATATGAAATTAGTTTTCCTGCAAAAAATCCTAATATGATTCAATAAAAATTCGACCCCTAATTTCAATAAAACCGCACGGCAATGTCTATAATAATGTTTGTCACTGTAAAACTGATCATAATGATGGTTAGTCATACCAGTCCAAGTTTGGTGAGACTCGCACGACTAATAGCTAGGATATACAGGGTGCTGCGTTTAAATTGAGACACACTGTATATAGGTAGCGGCTGGTCTTTATACAGGGTGTCCGGGAACATGTGGGAAATCTCCCGGATATGAAGAAAACACGTGAAAAGAATACTATAAGTTCATATAAACTTCTTTTGTATCGGCCTCCTCTTCGGAGATATGGGCTCCCAAAGAGCTCCCATGGAATTAAGTTTTTGACACATAATTCTTGAACCAACAGGTATATTTCAATTTTTTTTTAATATGATGTATACTAGGTAAGACTCTTCAAATTACTATCCAAGAAAGTGTTGCGAATTACTCACAGCTCCAGGGACGGACTAGCTGTGACACTCATGGGCCCATTTTTTTTACGCCCTGTATGATAAGAACTCTGGACAACGTTTTTTACATACCTCTAACTATTGACTAAAAATTAAGTACTCCTCATTCATGTCGCTAATCATAACCGTTTTCGGAAAAACGTCATTTTATTTATATCATGTATTTAGCGTATTTCGATAAAAGATACTTTTTTTTCGAGTTACCTTTGCAAACGTTGCTAGGTTAGAAATAAATAAATATCCTTCAATTTAGAACTTGTCAACTTTCACATTACTGATACATTGATTCCTTATTACTTTGATATTTGATTTTTGAATTTCGTTGTGAAATTAATTGTGAAATAATTCGAAATATGGAATACACGTTTATTGAGTATGCAGATATGCATCTGATGTATGGTCTTGCATCTTCCAATGCTTTGGAAGCCAGAAGGTTATATCACGACAGATTTCCTAATCGCACTCTTCCAGATCAGAAGACATTTCAACGAGTTGACCAACGTCTAAGGGAGAATGGTGGGCGATTCTTCTTAATAAGGTATAATAAGGTAATGTTATTTACTTCTTTCATAATTTTAGGAAATTTTGGAAAAAGAAGTAATAATACTGGTCAGGGAAGAACAGTACGTACGCCGCAATTAGAGGAAAATATTTTAAATGCTGTATATGATACTCCTTCAACGAGCACTCGAAAATTATCAGCGCAGTTTAATGCGTCGAAAACAATAGTACATGAAGTTCTTCAAGAACAACTGTTATACCCATATCATTTGCAAAAAGTGCATGAACTGATTCCTGAAGATTTTCCCCGTAGAATGCATTTTGCAAACTGGCTATTGGATCAGCAACGAAATAATGTAAACTTCATTAGCACTATTCTCTTCACGGATGAAGCAGGTTTTACCAAAAATGGTATCATGAATTTACATAACACCCATGTATGGGCTGATGAAAATCCTCATGCCACTATTGTTTCGCATCGCCAACATCAGTTCCTATCAATTAATGTCTGGGCAGGAATCGTTGGCAATTTTTTGATTGGACCATTCGTATTGCCGGCACGATTGAATGGAATACTTTATTTGGAGTTCCTCCAGAACGCTTTTAATGATTTAGTCGAGCACTTACCACTTGAAACCCGCCGAAACATGTTCTTTATGCATGATGGGCCACCACCTCATTTCAGCGTTGCTGTGCGGGAGCACCTGAATAACGTCTATCCAAACCGTTGGATAGGTAGAGGAGGACCTATTGCCTGGCCTCCTAGATCTCCCGACCTAACGCCATTAGATTTATACCTGTGGGGACACCTCAAAACCTTGGTGTATTCCACTCCGGTCGATACTAGGGAGGAACTTCTACGGAGAATCACGTTTTATTGTGATGTGATAAGGAACAATGCTGGGTTATTGTGGCGGGTACAGCAGTCCTCAATTCGTCGTGCTCGCGAGTGTATCAGACTTCATGGAGCCCATGTTGAACCCTGTTACGAAGTTTTTAACTAAGCAATTAAAGATCAACTTTTTATTGAAACTATGTTGGTTACCGTGGAAAATTACGCTAAATACATGATATAAATAAAATGACGTTTTTCCGAAAACGGTTATGATTAGCGACATGAATGAAGAGTACTTAATTTTTAGTCAATAGTTAGAGGTATGTAAAAAACGTTGTCCAGAGTTCTTATCATACAGGGCGTAAAAAAAATGGGCCCATGAGTGTCACAGCTAGTCCGTCCCTGGAGCTGTGAGTAATTCGCAACACTTTCTTGGATAGTAATTTGAAGAGTCTTACCTAGTACACATCATATTAAAAAAAATTGAAATATACCTGTTGGTTCAAGAATTATGTGTCAAAAACTTAATTCCATGGGAGCTCTTTGGGAGCCCATATCTCCGAAGAGGAGGCCGATACAAAAGAAGTTTATATGAACTTATAGTATTCTTTTCACGTGTTTTCTTCATATCCGGGAGATTTCCCACATGTTCCCGGACACCATGTATAATATTCGTTCGTATTTCGTGTATGGAAACTTTATACTCACATCTACATAAGATGCGTTTACATAATCAGTATCATGCCCACCAGCAATCGAGTCTAAGACTACCCTATTATAATCATCTGAAACAAGAAAAAAATTCTATAAATTATAATTGCTAATTGTTTTCTTGGATTTTCAAAATGAAAATTCTAACAAAAATGTGGTGTCATATCACAAGGTTGAGGTTCTATTAGCCTACACCAGCATGTTTCAGGTGTTGAGATCAATAAGGGGGGGTAGGGTAGGCGAGGTCAAAATTACTTCGTTTCATTGAGTTATGAAATTATATTTGTTCATGCAATACCGTTCCATTTCATTCAAAATAATCGCGTTTTTCTGGTATTGCCCTAAACAGCTCGAAATGAGTGATAAATAAACATTAACGTTTTTTGATCGAGGTCTGAAAAACCTCGCCGAGCAAAGCAAGACCAACGAAAAACTCGGCACAACCGGTCTCGCTAGAACTCCGCTCGAGAGTGTTTACGATATACGTCGATAGTGATTTTCGCGACAAATTTTCTATTTTCATTGGTCGAAAAAATGAACGGTTTTCGCATATAGGAAGTTTTCGCCCATGTGTGAGTGCCTATACTGAATTGGATTAACCCACGCCACCAACCTAGTCCAGAAGGGGGCCTCCATAGAATCGCTATTCAAGTATCCAGCTACCAGGTCATCATCACCAACTCTCAAGAAGTTTAGGTAAGCTGTTTAGGGGCTCGATCTTTGAAGTTTAAGATAATCTTAACCTCACCGGATTGCATCTAGGGTTGATTATAGAACTCATTTACCGCGCCTTTGGTGTCTGATGATACATACATTTTTTCTCTACTAAGTAGAGTTCTGAAGTAGAGAAAGTACAATATTCATGACTTAAAAACATGCAATAATACGAAGGCGCTTAAGGGCCACCTATACTTTTTTTTTTTGAATCCCGACTTTGAAGTCGGGAGTCCGAGATTAAAGTCGGGGGTCCGAGATTGAAGTCGGGGGTCCGACTTTAAAGTCGGGGGTCCGAGATTAAAGTCGGGGGTCCGAGATTGAAGTCGGGGGTCCGACTTTAAAGTCGGGGGTCCGAGATTAAAGTCGGGGGTCCGACTTTAATCTCGGACTTCATGGAGAAGTCCGAAACGGGTGTTCTCAGACCCATTCTATCATATATCATCGAATTCGTCTGTCTTAGCTCTATCCAAGAATGAAATTGAATACATTCGAAAATTCCGAGAAAATGATCGGTTCGCAAAATACGTCATCACTTTTGTTTAATTCGAATATCCTTAATATCGACAAAATATCAATATAACATATATAATTAGTTAATTCATAATGAAAACTGCGCATTGAAAACTTGATTCTCAACGTTTTCATAAGGCTTTGAAATTTGGCTATTTATTGAAGAAGATTATGAAAATAGTCCAGAAGGGGTGATCTCATACGAAATTTGGCTATTTATTGAAGAAGATTATGAAAATAGTCCAGAAGGGGTGATCTCATACCTACAAATGAAATCATATACCTATCATTGAACTAATCTTTCTGAGCTCTACCCAATGACGGAATGACATTCAGGGTAGTTCATTTGTGAAAACATATGTTTTGTATTGTAATCTTTTTGCACCCTTTGAACAAACAAATGAGATTCTTAGCTATTAAGTGGAATATAAACAATTACCCTATACGTACGATAATGATCGCACAGGTGTGATCCATTATTTGACATTCAGTGTACATCTGAAAAGGAGGATTTTGACTGATCCTTATGTGATGATTATCCAATGGATGTAAAATTATTGTTTGTACATAAATGTACAGGGTGTTTCTCGAGTACATGTAGAAAATTCAGGATCATGTTGCTGACGTCAAACTGATGAGTAACAATGGAAATTATTTATTTCTGTCCACATATTAAACGAATATAATCTAGCTCCTAACTTCAGTTTCGGACTCCCGACTTTAATCTCGGACCCCCGACTTTAATCTCGGACCCCCGACTTTAATCTCGGACCCCCGACTCTAATGTCGGACCCCCGACTTTAAAGTCGGACCCCCGACTTTAAAGTCGGGATTCAAAAAAAAAGTATAGGTGGCCCCTCAGCGCCTTCGTACAATAACGAACAATCGATGTGGTGTCTAGGTCAATTGAAAGTCTCCCATTCGGCTATACTTAAATTATCATTACATTTTCGTAAACTTTGATGGGCCATAATTTGAATTTGCACCCCATGTATTTTATTACTTAGTTGGATCTAGCGTATCATCACATCTTTGTCATCTCCTGTGGTATTTTCCGAAAGTTAATTTACATTATCTAAAAAATATACACATACAATTTCATCATACCCCTTACGATTGTACGGGCATTATCTAAGTGATTTTTAAGGATCAAAATATCATTTTTCTGGATTGAGAACCAGCCACGATGCTTGTGAGTGTTCTATTTGCAAGGAACAAACCGCATTTGCTGCTTATTTTATTTTCAGGCGGCGTAAAATAAATGATCATTGTGTGGTGCGATATTGGTCTCGACTGAAAAATGTTTCCTGAAGGTGAGTCAATCAAAAACATCAACTAGTTTGATATTGTGAATGATTTTATGCATTGAATGGCAAATGAAAACATGATTCAACATGGTGGTCCACAGTGACTGTTTCCAAAATTTTTTTCGGGATCATATTCCAGGACATACTTGTGTACACATTTGTATGCTCCGGAAGCGTACCGATGCGGATCAATGACCATTATCGATTTTGATTTAAACATTTCAGTGTGTCAAAACTGTCCTCCATTCCAAGAATTTTGAATTTCAAAATGATCAAGATAAAATTCACGATTTGTTGGATCAGATAGGATTAAATCTGGAAAAGGACTTCGATGAAGATGACCAGTGGGAGTTGAATGCACAGGTAGAAGTGCCGGAGGAATATTTGTTGAGTGGGTGGATGAAAATGCCAATTAACCAACCGTTCTTCTCGCAAATAGAGAAGCTTCTATTCCAACAAATGACAAACGATATGATGAAATTGACCACTGGCCTGTCATTGATTCTCAGAAATCACCACGGACTTGCTGACTGGAAAGTTGCGGTAGCCGTTCAAGGACGAGATTTTAAAAAGGCAAGGTACGCCTATGCCTGTGCTTGAACAATGAAAGTAATTGTTTCGTCATTTTTCATAACAAACCATAAACAATAAATGCATATTTCTTTTCTCTTCATTCTTAGTTAAAATCCTATTTCACTCCCAAATAACACGATTGTGAGGGTCCTGAAAATAATATTACATCATCCTGGAAAAATTCGAAAAAAAATTCAAGAAGTTTCTGAGGTTACTCTTAGAGTCCCTGTATATACCTTAGACAAGAGTCCAGACACAAATCTGACAGCCGTTGGGGTTTTTAATATTTTGTTTCATTTGGTTTGCCCACCTGACAATGTGACGTAACACCATAGTCGTCCCGCCCGCTTTTTTTAATTATTTCGAATTTCTGTCACTGTCACTTTGGAATTTTATGACCGCCAAAATTTCGCATTTCAAATTATCTCAATTTCCTCCTGCGTACATTATTGCGATAATTCATTAGAAAAGGTATTCAAGTTATTCAATTTTCCGAATGATCCTCTAAAGATAATGTCATGGAAGAATGCAATGAAACGTCCAGAATGGAAAATTAATTTCAAGGAATCCGCAGTATGTGAGGTAAATATTCAAATTAACTTGTAAAAACAGTACAAAAAAGATGAATGTTAGGCCCATTTTGATAGAGATTCTTTCAAGCTGATGGATTTCAAAGTGAAAGAGTCTGCTGTGCCGTCAATTTATAAAACAGAGACGTTCAAAAAAAGAGTTCCGTCGTCATCGTATTGGGAATTACTGAATGATACGATCGCAGAGAAAAAAAAATGAGAATGAGAATAATGAGATGATGCGGAAAGAAATTGAAAGTTTGAAATCAAAACTAGAAGATTTAGAGAAATTGCAATGTGCTATGTCATCAGTCCACGGTGTTTTTAATTCAGATCAAATTCAAAATTTACAGGTGTATATGTAGACTGCAGGAAGAGGTGGGAAACCGACACAATTAAAATTATATTGAAACAATTATATATCTTCTATTTTTTTATATCCCAACAGAAAACAATATTTTCTTGACTATATGTGATACTACGTAGAGCACTTAAATTATCTTTCCTATATCTCTAATGAAGTGAAGGAATATCTGATGACGAAAATTTGCAATAGCCATCCATCTCAGGAATTGATTATGAAAATCATCGATTCGAAATTTGAACACCCTGTTGTTCATTATTTGAAAATCTGATAGTTATTCTATTTAAAATAGCCCTATTTCTCACTTCTACCTACGGCTATGAACGGTTTATAATCCTCAAAATTGTTTCTGACAATCATTGATACTAGGGGAATTGAAAAGACAGAGCTCGATATATATGTCTTATTCCTTTATTCAATCATCAATGCATTTTTTGAAAACAGAAAAGGACAGAAGTATAGCTGTGTCCGTACTCTTGTCTAAGTATATACAGGGACTCTAGTTACTCTGAGTCACACCTGCCAGAAAAGTTCCGGCCATACTTCCCAAATTATTCTCGGGAGTATAAGGGATAAGAGAGCCATAAAAAACAATAAAAAAAACAATAAAATCTGACAACCAACACAAGAGTAATAGCTACGGACGTCCCTTTCAATGTTTGAAAAGACAAAACATGAATAGTGCCGTTTTCCCAGATCTATAAGCAATATCAATTCTTTGTTTCGGTATTGTAGACAGATCTGGGATTTGAAAAACGGCATTTCACAGGTAAACGGAAATATTTGGATGGTAGACAGGCATCGCCAACGTGCTTCTGAAAATACCATATTTGATGAGTCCTACAATCTTTATAACGGAGATACAGGGTGATTTATCTATTTCGATTAATTATTTACTCGTCCATAAGTATTGAACTATATCTAGTATATTTTCCCCAAATTTGGTATAGAGCTTCTACTTGGGTCATTGATTTTACTGACCAATCAGGCAGAATGGAAATCCAGGTTTGGCTTCAGGAAATTCGAAATATAAA